TAATTGGTAATGTATATATATATATATATTTAACTAAATTCTTAAATTAAGAATAATTAGCTGAAAATGTTGAGTGGTCGATAACCAGTAATTACTTTTGAAGTTACTAATGATTTAAGTTTAAGATACAAATAATACTAAACTCCTTATTAAATATTCAATTGTTGTTATTGAAATGTCTTCCAATCGCGACCACAGCACGTTGTAAAAGGGTTGACCCGAATCCATTTTCCTTTTGGACTCCCAGCGCTATTGTTGTTGTATTAATCGAGGATTTACAAAAGCAAAAGCGAAATTCATCTCTACCCACCATAATATGTTGCACAAACAATTGCGATTTATACATTATTAAGTCTCGGAATTTCTGGAAATCGTTTTTGCGTGCGACTTTGGGGGAGAGGCAGAGGGGCAAATAATAATAATAATAATAATAAAAATAACAACAACAATGATAGTAATAATCCGTCTTGGAAATAATATCATAATGCCTGACGATAAGCAGTTAATAGACATGCCCGGAACGTATTACTAATACAATAGTTGTGTGCAAACTAAGCGATTGCCAGAGCACATACACACAACTGCACAAGCTTGGCATGATTAAGCAAACTCAGATTGTAATAACAATAAAAAAGTCAACAAACAATGGAAGTAGACATTTTTTTTGTTATCCAAAAATTGTTTTGTCATGTGATCAACACCCCCTTCCCCTTATTGGTTCATTATATTATAACCCAAAGTAATATCTTAATGAATGACTAGTTTAGGAAACTTATTTTATTTTATTTTAATACTTTAAAAATAACTAGAAATAACAATATATTTCTGACACAGACTTTAAATACAAAAAGATATTATAATTGAAGTGATGAGTACAAAATAAAGGGTACAAGATGTGCAATTTTTTTATTATCGATGTACAGTGATTATCAATTGAGACATATTTTATTATGTATTTTCATAATTTTGCATTGATTTTGACCTATTGAAAGTATAATCATAATTTTACTAATTTATAAAATGTCATGAGCATCACTTATGTAACATTATGGATTTCATAACTTTCTGAAATACTGTTCCAGAGGATCGCAATAAGTAAGATATTATGAAGAGCAGTATACTAAATGTTAGTGTACTACTATGAAGTAAGCGAAAATACGAGCTGCAGTGTGACCAGAATGACGAAATTACACATATCCAGTACATATTTATTTTTCATTTGTTTCACTACTGCAGCCATATGGTATAAAACATATGATTATCAGTTATAACATTACCACATAATAATGATAAACTTGAATTTATCTATTGATCTGAATAGTTGATAAGGATTATAATGTATAGTCTTTAAGAACTTGTACAAAATCCTGCCGTCTGTCACTCGCCTTCTTGATTACAGAGCGTTATAATGATGTTACAGCTCTATATTTTTTATTCGATTTACTGTCCTCGCATCTTCGACCATGCCTATTTACATGAGTAAACATTTACATGAGTTTACTGTATCACAATAATATCAGTCGACTAGGCGGACAATCGCAGACCACATTAAAACGGGCGACGGCAAAAACAAATCGTGTATTTTCGTCCGGACAAAACACGGCCGAGCGTTATTTTCGAAGCTTTGCCATTACAATAATAAACGGCCACGTCATTGTTTTGAATAATATGCTGAGATTTTTTCCCCGATCCGCTATAACTACCTATCCAATTGCCGGTGGTTGTGACGACGTCACTTTAGTTAGTGACAAATTCGCATCGGCATTTGCTGGCAAACGGTTATGTGGGTTTTGAATGTCGCCCGTGGCGAATGTGCATAGCAAAGCCCGGCATAGCTTATATTGTTGTATACTTAAAACAAGTACACGAGCGAGCACGACGTCGCGGTCTTAAAACAAGTAGTAGAGGTGAACGGCTGGTTCGCTTCCTCCACCGCCGGGCCGCCACCGTTTATATTTTAAGACCGAAAATAGCGTTCATTCCGCCCGGCCGTCGAGTGCCAACAAAACGCCAACAGCTACCGTATGCCAAAAACCACCCAATACACGCTCTAAATAGGTCCCCTCCCTCTCCCCACGGTGTCCACGTTATAACCCCATTACCTAACCGTAACCGCAGTAACCGCTACGATCGCCTTGCCCTGTGTCTTCGCCGAGACAACAGTGTTCCTCAATCAGACGGCATTATTCACTTTATGTCACCCTCGAACCACCCTTTCTCTCACTAATGGCTGTGATTTATCCGAATGTATAAAGTATAAATTAAAAAAAAAAAATAGACTCGCGGGAAAAAAATTATCAAGAAACCAATGGGAAAAAATATTTTTAAATATACTAAAATAAATTTATAAACAATACATGTGTTAACAATCGTGTTATTTGATTTCTCAGAAAATCGTTGATCTACAAAATTGATTTATTAAGAATAAGACACGATTTTCTCTTATAAAAATCACAATTTTGTAAATTTTTTTTTGTGGAGACACTTCAGTTAATGTTATTTTAATATATTAGACATCATTTACATTTTGATCATTTTTATTTTTTTTCAAAGCTTTATCAACTATTAAAAAAACTTAAATGGTAACGTACATATTTAATTATCTTTTTAAATTAAGAATAATTTGCTGAACATTTTGGCTGGTCGATAATCAATAATAGATAATTACTTTTTGATTTAATAATGTTTAAAATTTAAGACGGGGGGTGAAGTGAAAAGGGTCTTTTCAATCTAAACAAAACAGTGACGGCCATTTTGTAAAATCGATTTAGTATTATATGTTATATCTATACACAACTAACAATAGTAATGTATAGATACAACATTATAGTGGTGTAGATTTAAGAAGATGGCCGCCGCGTTTTAGTGTGATAAGTATCTTTCCCGTGTTCATTTTTATCATTATCCGGGGCCTGATAGTAATGCGCCCAGATAAAAATAATACTATATTTATAAAGTTATTTTGGTTTTCAAAAATGACAAAAGAAGTTTGATAACTAATGTATTTGTAAGGTGTAATTTTTAGACCTCAAATCCAAAAATTACACCTCTTCAAGCGAAAAAACAATTACTTTGAAAATAGTCAAATTAGTTCCAAAATTTATTTGTGAATTCTTAGGATGTACCCTTTTTTTTTATTCTACAGGTAACCGTTTTGGGTTCAGTTTTAAATATAGACCAAACACAACACGGTGGTGCCCACCGTACCTTGTTATGTATGATTTGTTAATGATCCAAGAGCATTATGATTCATACGTACCTACTCTATTCAGACGGTCCCAAAACAACTAGTAGGAAATAATAACAATCCTAAACTGGAGTATAATAACATATTATGCCTAAAGAACTAATTCTGTTAATTTTAATTTTCAAGGTGATTTAGCGCAAATACCTTCACCGACCATCTGTTTACTAACAGTTACACATTGCTGTTATAATGTTTTATTCGAATATTTGTTTAAAGTTTTTTGTTATTTCTCATTTGTTGCAGTTAAAGTGTAGCTCACTTTCCGTAGGTTTACTGCAAAGGTTTAATGTATAACTACTGATTATATTATTAAATAATTTGATTTATTATTAATGATACAGCATTATTAATTACTATCATGTTGCCACTGCCAAAAGGGTAGCGGCAATACAAATTACAAACGTAAATGATGAATTGTCAAACGAAAGAATAGTGGTTTTTATTAATTAGAAATACTGAAAATGTAATAAAGGTCAGGACTCAGGAGATGTCCACTTCTAGTTTGGACCAAAAGGGCAAACCAATTTTGATCGTAGTAAGGGACATGGTGCCAAAAAAACGTGCAAGACTAATTGGCTAAATTTTCAAATATGCGTGCAATTAAGTACAAACATTACAGAAAGCACCGCGGATGCATACTAAGGGGTGCCCCCTCTAGGCAGTTCGTTTCGCTTTTAATCACTGCTTACAGCATAATATGTACATAAAAGTATGATTAATAAAAATGTTTGATTATTCGCTTGTCGTGAGAAATCATTGATAATATAAATTGTGAATGTTCAAAACTAAAACACGATCGACCTTCAAATGGATCGAACATCTAAATATTTACTTCCTTTTTATGGCGAAAAATTATATTGATTTTTCTAAAAACACAATACAATCGTTAACTGAAATGTTGAGAAGTATTGTAGCACTGTAGTTAGGAAGTCTAATTTACTCCATGGGAGAAATAGTATAAACCAGCTCATAAAAGTTTTAATATGTTTTCAGTATTTATCTTTAAAACGCGAATGGTCATATTATCAAAATGTTAACAAAAATCACTTCGCAATATATTTGTTATATTCAAATGACTAGTTTAATAGACTTGTGATTTTTATCTGTGGATCTATTCTGATTTTATTTATTCTGTGCTAAAACACATTATTATGAAAAACCAAATCGTCGACCAAAGCAATAAACAACTACCTACGCTGTAATAATTATCACAGCAGCTATAAATTATTATATTATGTCTTTGTATGACAACAATAAAATACATCACTTAGGAACATTATTTTTATTACGTCATGATATAATTTCAGGGGTGGGCAAATTATTACAAATGACTACTTACAAAATCCAAAAAAACTAATAAAAAAAGGTAATTTTTTTTGTACAAAAATATTACATTAGTATTTAAAAATTTGTGATTGTAACTTTTTTTTGTTTTCCCATTTTAGAGGACAGTTTTTTAATTAAAATTCTAAAAACAAAAATCGGTGTTAATCCAATACAGTAGTAGCAAAACTATCCATAGCTGTGATTATTTTAAAGACAAAAAAGCGGTTTTTGTGCCGGATATTTGTTTTCTTCGTTTCCGTCGAACACAGGTGAAAAATTATTAGGTATAGCATTTTTGAGGGGAAGAAAGTTTGTTTTTGCCAATCGTCGCCGCCCACCCACCGCCATTTCCGACAACCGCGAAAACGTTTACTCGTCAACTTCGGTGTACTCTAGACTGTTGTTATTATTATTATTATGTACGTACATCGTTTCAATGTCGATCGGACACATTCGCACTGCTACCCCTCAACGATGCCAATGGGTTAGGTATAATTTAATTATTATCATATAGGTACTACGGACGTAGTCAGAGCCAGACGAGTAATCATATTTTTCCCCTCCGCCGGTCGATCGGTGTCTATTTGCGGCGCTGTAAAAAAAAAAAAAAAAAAAGACTGAAAAAAAACTGGGTCGTACCAAGCGCAACAGTGTGTTCAGGTGTGTGTGTGTGTGTAAGTAAAACAACAGTAGCAACTAATAGTGTGGAGTCTCACTTATGGCAGGGATATTTCTGGACTCGCCCGGTGGATCCCGGCTCTGTGTCAAGGACGTTCTCCGACCGACGGTAGAAAAATAAAATAAACCACCGCAATGTACCGGGGTAGTATAGTATAGTACGCACACACGCCGCTGCGCACTTGTAGAACCCATCAACGGTATCACATCATCAATATATATATATATATATATATACATAGACAATAGTTAGGTTGTTATCTAGGGGCGGCGCTCTGCAACAGCTGTTGCGATGAAGGCGAGCCGTCGGGCGGTTGCTCGAACGCGCGTCTTGAATGAAACGTCCCACACAGTTTCGATTCACGAAATAACATATTTACAAACGCCTCTTCCTCGGCGCGTCCGGTCCAACGCATCCAATGCGAATTGCGGACGAATCGATTAAAATATTATTGTGCTATGGTTAAAAAACATATTGAAAAAAAGATCAACACATTCGACGAGAGGGGTAATAAAGGTCACGAGTTTTTGAGAAACGAACGTTTCGACGCAAAAATATGCCTTTCATCGTGTGGTATTGTGTTTTTATTCTCGATAAATAAAAAAACTTGACTACTGATTTTTTAAAACGCTAGATCCACTTACAGTCTAATTTTCAGACTGTTAAATTCTGAAACTACTATTGAAAGGACGCTATACTTACACATTTTGATTATAACAACATGGTCGGGCACATTTGATTTTATGCGCTTTTAAATGGTATTAGAGTTTCAAAGAGTTAACATTTTTATTAACAATTTGGCCTAACGAAATACATTTCGTGTACGATTTATTAGAAAAATATCTATCAGGTTATTAATTTAGCGAAAGACCATCTTTTTTAAAATAAAATTATACAACTTTTTTTTGAAAACATTTTTGTAAATATGTATAAGCATGTGTAGTTTGTTTTCTTTGGTCTCCCCATAGCAATTACAAAATAACAACTTCGGTTTTTGTAAAAAATATAAAAATTTAAGACCATACAAGCTTTTGGTTTATGCGCTAGCATTAGCTTTCGGGTACGATTTCTGTGGACTTGCTCTATGAAGATATCGGTCCCCGCCCGAGATGGACGGATAATATGCGGAGATAGCGGTCGTTTTAAAAATGAAAAATAGTCTTCCGGGTTACAAGCAGACGCGGCCAGAGGATTGCCCTCGTGTAGAATAGGAGTATATCCCGGCCTGTGTCGACCGAGCCAATTTGGCGACCGTGTTTAATATTTTTTTCTGTGGCTGAACACAGTTGGAAATAGTAATAATAATAATAAAAAGCCGAGAAAACACGGTAGAGTTGCAGTGATTTTCTTTGAGTTTTAAAATTAATAGCGCACCGAGAATGTCGTCGGCGAGTTAATGGTGTAATTGGGTTTTTTTTAAACATTCCCGACGACGCGGGTGCGATTTTTATTTTTATTTTAAATCTTCCGTAATATATTATTATAATTGTTAAAATCTCACGCCCAAGGATCCTATAAAAAAATAATACATATTTTAAAACTCAGCCAGTAATAATTCACATCAAGGTCGGCGGTGGCGACGGAATGGGTAGGATTTATTAGTTGATAACACACTTACTTGTAAAATTTGTTAAAAAAAATTAAAATAATCTCATTTACCAAAAGTGTGACGGCCCACACCGAGAGTAGGAAACCAAGGGACTCTGTATCTGGTCGCTAGAATTCCATTATTTATTTAACATATTAACGATTAATGAACGGTTTTACTCAAGTCCGAAAATCGTCTTTTGGCGTTGCACAATTCGTCACGAAAAAATTTGATGCACATTTTTTTATAGACCCTTAGTTTAAAGACATGTTTATGTTTAAAAAAAAAAAAAAAATTAATAAAAAATAAAATCTTAAACATACAAGTACCTATCTAGTGTATAGAAACAAAATTGGTTACCGTTTATTTTGTATTATCACAGTATAGACTGACTTATGGATCAGACAATAAGACGTTTCAAAACCAACATGTGGTTGTTTACTTAAGTCCAAGATTAGGAAATTAAAATTTTAACTAATCTCTAAGCCTATGACAACGCATAAGAACTACATTGGGGCAGAGTTGGATGAGTTTTGATACAAGATACAAAATTTCGTCTTATTCATAAATCGTAATGCATCTGTAACGTAGAAGATTACACTTCGCTACCACTTTAATGTGCTTGTAAATTACATTTACTGTGACAATATCCACTGATAAGCAATCACGATAATTGAGACTTTAATATCATTTCCACATTAGAATGAACAGACTGCAGACTGCAAAGACCCTCCCAAAAGACCCCAAATAGGGTTTTTTTGTCGCTTTGCTAAGTGTGCGAGATTGAAGGTTTCATAGAGTCTGGATTTATTCTAACTATGCCTATTTAACAAGAGCTGGAGGACGAAAGGATGATCACTGATCGCCTTCAGAGTTTTGGGCCACTTAAGCTTATTCTACATAAACTTTCCGAAGAGGGTTGATGATATTTTTTATCCCGGTTCATTCCTGCTGTTGACACACAACAAGACAGCACACCAACTATCGTTACAACGTACTGGCGAGGGTATGATTTGGCAAAATTCTAGGTTTTTCAAAAACTCTACAAAACCTACATTTTCGAATAAATACCAATCATTTTCTGGGTTAAGACAACGCTAACTTAGTGTTTTTTTTCCTGGTGAGGATTAGGTTTTTGCGGACCGTACCTTGACAGTGTTTACAACAGCATTTGGCATCTGGTACCTCTGTGCTGCTGCTGACCGGCATAATGACCCAGTGACTCTACGGGAGACGACCTCCGCGCCCGCCGTTGCTCCCATAACACGAAGATGCGCACTGTGCTGTCACCGCGCGCATCACCGCCTTCGAAACTCGCGGACGCTGCGTCTCTTGTTGTGCACCACCTTCGCGGGTCCACCACCGGCCAGATTCCTGCTGCTCCCGTTGGAATTGCGGCGACTGGTCGACGGCGACAACAACGGTCATGGACAGGCGACACTGCGAGGGGTCCGGCGACTCTAAAACGGTCAAGGACCCGAACGATACCGAAATGAATTATTCTTGTATGCGCTTTGCCGTAATGTACGAGACTACGAGACGGGACAACGACGAAGACGGCGTTACGGAGATGGAAAAGCGGCGTTTACGGCGTCTACTGACCGTATGCCGCGGCGACGGTGGTCTAGTAACGTGGTCCCGGGAACGTCGAGCGCGCTCGGCGTCGGTCGGATGCGGCGGCTGAATTCCTTGGCCTGCATCCAGGACCCCCGAGTGACTCATAAAGGGGCACCCTCGGCGGCGAAAAACCTAAGTTTTTCCAAGATCCCAGCAAAGACTTCTCATTGCCCCCCCCTTCCCATCAGGATGGAATATTATTTAAACATTGTACTACCGATAAACGTTGACAAACTATAAAAACTATTTTAAACGTTTTCCCCTAGAAATGGTGGAAACTTTTTCTTTATATCGCTTTTTTTTAGGTGAAGTTTTAGGGTGTCAGGTTTGAAAATTTGACCGAAGGTAGATCTAAATAGGGGCTATGACATTTTCCAAAAAAGGGAGAAATTACACATTAACCGTAGTCAAATTCTAGGTTTGCTCTATGTCAGTGAATCAACAGTTACGGGTATTCAAAATAAAATGGTAAAAATGGAAAAAGGACCTCTTGTCGCAAACAATATTGTTTTTAAGTTATTGGTTATTCAAAAATCTGCACTAAATTCTGAACATTTTGAGACCAAAATAGTTCTTCTATCTAATTAAAATGAAGTGCCCTTAAGCAGATTTGTATTCTTGAGGTACTTTTCTATGTTTCGACTCACATATTGATAAACATATAAGTAGCTATGACAATAAATTGCAGATCACAGAAAAAAAACGTGTTAAACTCTTTTTTTTCAAATTTTCCAGGAAATTAATTTTTGTGTTAAAAATGCTATAACTATTATTCAAAATTCGCATTATTGTATGTGAGTTGGTTAAAAAAAAATTAGAGGAAATGGGGAACACAATGGTAGCCTGATATAGTCAAAAATAATTCTTTATGCCATTGTAAAAACCACGGAAAAGCAACATGTTCTTCCCCTAAACGGGTTTTCTATATGAATTATTTTGAGCAGTCCTAACACGTTTTTCCTTGTTTTGAGTTCACCATCTAGTCCACCACCCAACAATCCATAACAAACTCTTACTATCTCATTTCGTAAAAAACATCTAGTTAACACATTACACCTCCCCGCCCTTTTGGTCTTCAATTATTATAGGCAGACGATCAACCCTAATTGTATCCACCCTAGTACCAACAATTATTACTTCAAACGTGAAATGCTTTTCATCGATATTTGTATTTCCACCATTACAGATTCGCATTTGTTTCAGTTGTTTTACTTCATATAGACCTGTGACCTACTCGCACAAGTATGTTCCGACCTAACTGTATCGGTTTTTTTTTTGTTTTTGGCGACATCGATAAAAACGGTAAATCAAAGTGTCGGCGATTTTCGTAAGAACGATTGCGGTCTAATTAAAACGTACTTAGGGCCGATATAATTTTCATTATGCCACACGGTCGCGGGTGGTGCCACTCCTGTCCTGCTCGGGCGTACTCGACCGAGGAAGGCGACGGAGATTTATACGCGTATATTTAGACTATTCAAGCGGATTTATGGCTTGGACGTGGGCGGCTGCGGTAGCGCAATGATACGGCGTTGACCCTAAACAACCGCCACAGACGTTGTGCACTTGCAAAGTACACGTACTTGATTTTTTTTTTCACAGTTTTCCGACCAATTTTTTTTTTCCTTGCAGCCGACGGAACAACGAATTTGCGATGCAGGAGTGAAATAAATAACCTAATTATCGTGCGTGGGGTTATGCCGCCATGCATGCACACAGCCGGACTCCTATATCGTTAAAAACCGCATTCTTGGCTAGTACACTACACGACCGACGTTAATCTTCGGCCCATTGATCGACGGCTCGGCGGCGGCCTCGGTGTTATTATTATTATTATTGTTATTACTTTGTTCGGTCAACAAAATCGTATACGACACACGTGTTTGTTGTGTGTAAGCACAGCCGCCACAACACACGCGTCATTCCAGCGCAAAGACAGTTTCCTTGAGACTAATAGTGTAACGGTTTAAAGGCCATAGGCATTATAACTGCGTGCAACGAGCAATAAAAAAAAATATATTACCAATAACAAGAAGTTATTTGTGACGGAGAATTACAAAAACAAATTAACCATAGGCCCGCCATGGGTTAAACGATTGTTTTACGAGCCTTCTGATGGCGAAAACCGCACAAACTTAGACACCGACCAAATGGCACTTGTCCTAACAAGAGAGCCACCGTAGTACGGATTTTATTGGCAGTGTAGGACGAAAAATAATCCATCGTTAATAGGGTGGAATGAAAATATATGTTTACGATTTTTAATTTTAGCTTACGAATGGAAAATTACATTGTAGTCTTAGGAGCCCGCCATTGAAGATTTTTATATAAAACTTTTTTTCTTTTTTATAAAACTTGTTTGAAAGGATGCATTATTCCGAGGAACTGGTCTATAAGAAGTATCAAAAAAATCATAAGATTAAAAGATAAAAAAATATGATCTAAAATACTGAACTATCGTTACAATATCCCAAATAATTTAAAAAACTGTCAGTAGAATTGACGATTGTTTTCAAAACAATTTCTTATGTATTTTACAAACTCCCAATGTTTTACAACTCTGTACAAATCGTTCATGTCAAAATTAAGATAAAGAATTTTTAATTTTTCACACTTACTTTTACTTTGAAAATACTCAGTTTCTCAAAAACACGTTTTTATGTTAAAAAAAAATAAATAATTAATTGCGTTTTAAGAACGGGAAAACCAGCTTTAATCTTTATTGATATGGATTTCTCTTCGCGATGCCAATTTATGACAGACATTATTTGCATCAAGTTTTGTCGAAAAATTCATACCAAAACAGTAGATGAATTTTGTACGATTGTTTCATTTCCGTAAGACTAACTTCGGACGAAATGATATGGCATTGAAGTTTTAAGGGACATTCCTGTAACATAGGCGTTGACGACCAAGCGAAACCAAAGGTCAAACGTTCAGGATTAGAGCTGGGAGTTTAATTTAATTGAATTTATGTCGATAATTGTGCGGTAACATAAGTTGCCAACATTAACCAAATCATAACCTGGTTGTGGAACTCAATAAAGTTATTTTCAGCGTTAAGATTAAGTTAGCTAACCTTTTGCCGGAAACAACAAAATGTTGTAATGTCAATCATAACACGAATTAGCAGCGATCTGGCAAATCGGCATGGTCGTGACAATGATTACTTGACACTGTTATAAGCAACAGCCAACGCGGAATTAACGTTATTAATATGATAATGATGATAAAACAAAAATGATGGTTGTTAGCGAACAATTTACAAATAACACAATTATTATTATTATTATTGGTCTGCGAGCAGCGACGAGCTCGGCCTAAACACTGACAATCGCTTTACATATAATTTTCTGTCGGCCGGGACTACCGTGTGTTTTTCATTCTAAAACAACAATATTTGGCAGAACGGAAACATATTTATAAGTGCGATTACTTACATTTAAGACCAATGACTTTTGGCCACGCGAAACTGGAACACGACGACGTCAATCGAATCATCCGGTTACTGCCAACGAAACGGTTATAAAAACATATCGATTCACACACTAATTTGAGTGGGCTATATTAAAAATGGTTTTCATTTACAAACCGATTTCAGTTAAAAGTAATAGAAACTATAGCTGTTAAACGAACAACGCACGGGTTTAATGGATAAACTAAGCGTTAAGCCCAAATGAAGAGGAGAAATATTTATATGAAAAAACGAATGGAAAAACTTATTAGTGATACAGCAATAAGGATTCTTAATTGGTAGATTTATTGTCATTTAAAACAGGGTACATTAAAACTGTTTTTTATAAAACCTTTGGTTATATATGAAGTATTGGGCGTTCCTGAGTAGACTTACAAAAGTAAAATAATTAACGTTTAAAAGATGATAGGTTTAACTATCTTTTGTTAGAAAACGAGTCTAGAAAAAATAAATAGTAAAGCGAATGAAATGGTCAAAAAATAGCCTAATTGCCCGATTGCAGTTGTATACAACTTACAATTTTTTGTTTTAACTCCAATCATTTCCTTTCTGTGACACGACATCCCTGATTTTTTCTACTAGCTACACCTACATCTTCAATTCTTTTGAATAACTGAGCCCAAATACTTAAATGTGTCTAAACTATTAACTGCCCAAGCATAACAGTCTCAACCTTCTGACAGCTCCTATCATTACTTAACGTGCCTTATTTGAGATCTAGCTTTTTTTTCCTCCTCAATTGCTGTAATATTACTTTACACTCGCTAATATTTTTATTCAGTGCTTCGCTTTGTTTGTCTTTGGACCTGACGCTCAGCCTCGATGAACTGATTCCTTCGCCTAATTTTTGTAATCCAACGCATTTTTATGATTCAGTCATAAGGGGTTTAAAGAGGGAAAACTCAAGTTTTTAAATGAATATGCTGGACGATATCATACAAACACATCCGAGAGATTCCAGTAGAATATTATTATTCGTTAGAATACCGATAAAACTGGTTTTCGACATTTTTCATGCTAATAGATGAATAATAATAGGTACTTTTTAAATTTCATACCCTGTTTTCGGCTATAATTCCGTTTGGGATATGGAAGTACGCCATCGCTGTTAAAATACTTGTTTGCCAATAGATATAACATAACGTATAATGCATGTACATACTACTCGGGTGTGCGGGTCGCACAGACTGTGTCGGCCGTCTTCTTATTCTTTTTAATCGAGGTGGGCGACACTTCATGGGCGTAAATAATAATGCAACAATAATCTCCGAATTACGAAGACAAAATAAATTTTTAAAAAAAGAAGGAGACGCCCACGAGGTACACAGTGTTCGCCTGCGAGAAGAGAGGGAGTTTTTTTGCTTTTTTTACTATTCAACGTTGGATCTATAAATTAAAATGAAAAAAGCCACACAGCTGCCAAATGACCACCAAGAGACCGTCCACTTTCTATATTATATATGTGGTATCCTGCGGTAATCGCCCGTCCGGCGTAGGAAGTCTGTGACACTCCTGCGGT